GTCGGTCTTTATTCCATTGTATGTTCTTGCCTCCTTTGTCAAAGATTAATTGACCAAAAGTTTATGGGTTCATTTCTGGGCTCTCTATTCTGTTCCATTGATCCATATGTCTGTTTTTGTACCAACACCATGCTATTTTGATTACTATAGCTCTGTAGTATTGTCTGAAGTCTGGGAGGGTTATTCCTCCAGCTTCTTTCTTTTTCAGTACTGTTTTGGCAATTCTGGGTCTTTTCTGATTCCATATAAATTTTAATATGATTTGTTCTAGTTCTGTGAAAAATGTCCTGGGTAATTTGATAGAGATTGCATTAAATTTGTAGATTGCCGAGGCTGTTTGGCCATTTGAATAATATTGATTCTTACAATCCAGGAGCATGAGATATCTTTAAGTCTTCTTTAATTTCCTTAATCAATGTTTTGTAGTTCTCCATGTATAAGTCTTTCACCTCCTTGGTCAGATTTATTCCTAGGTATTTTTATTACTTTGGGTGCTATTTTGAAAGGGATTGTTTCTTTACTTTCTTTTCAGAACAACATGTATTATCTCACAGAGTCTGTGAGTAAGGAATCTGGATACAGTTTAGCTGTGCCTTCTGGCTCAGGACCTGGTACAAGCTGTAGTCAAAGTGTCAGCCTGAGCTGTAGTGATCTCAGGGCTCTACCAGGGAAGGAGCTGCTTCCAAGCTTACTCTCCTGCTTGTTGGCAGGATTCAGTTCCTTGCTGATCATTGGACTGAGGACCTCAATTCCTCTCTAGCTACTGGCTGGAGGCCACCCTTAGTTCCTTGTCACTTGAGCCTCTGCAAAGAGCACCTCCCAACATGGCAGCTGGCTTCAGGAGAGCTTACTAGCACGCAGTACCAGAGAGAGAATACAAGTAGGGCAGAAGTCACCATCTCTTTGTAAACTTATCTTGAAAGTAACATCCCTTCCTTCCTGCCATATTCTATTCATTACAATTAAGTCACTGTACTCAAGGGGAGGAGATCACACAAGGACATGAAAACCAGGAGGCAGAGGTAATAAGGGGCCATTTCAGAAGGTGCCAACCACATCCACATTCAGGTATAAATATGTGCCTACAGCATTTAGCTTTCTTCCAGTCCCCATCCCTTTCTTGCTCTTATGCTATTCAGGACTGATATAAAATACCTGAAACTCTTACTATCCATGCTGGAGCCTCTTCTGCACTCATCAGCTACAGTCAGGCTAACATCTCATTCCATCAGCTAAACCATCATGCCAAGGAGCTGTCCTGTGCTATTCCCCTTTAGATTTTGGAGAACTTTAAATGTCTGAGTATATTATAGCTCCAGATAAAAACACATTTATTGTTCGCATTGGAGAACAGAATTACAAACACTGCTAAAATACAGGCTTAATATTATCATTTTGCATTAGGTTTTTCTTTGTGAGCAAGAGTAGGTAATAATGGTCTTCTATTATGTGTGTCTTTATGCATTTTTTGGTTACATATGTTGGATGGCTTCTTACTTGTGGCAAAAAGTCCAAAATCTCTGTATGTGGAGATAAACCTCCACCAAAAACAAGGATTTTATTCCAAGACGTTATTGGGTAGAAAGTAATGCTTCTGATAGACGCATTTTGTTTGCTGGCTGTTTTCAGAGCAATGAAATGAAGGTTAATTTTGCTGCAACCTAAGCCAAAAATAATACTAACATTCCTTCCACGCATTGTTTCCCGCAGAATCACGCAATAATGCCCCTAGTCCTCACATCCTCCATGCTGTCCCATAGCTGACATTAACGGCCAGTCTGAGCTCAGATTAATGCCTGCTTCCAATTCCTAGGCCTCCTCTAATAGTCTTTTTATGATACTTGAGTCCTGCTGCAGCTCAAAAAACCAAGGAGTGAAGAGAAGTCAGCTCTGTGGTGTAAGGAAGAGCTTCTGAAACATCTTGACTCACCTGATGAGAGATTATTTTGAAAGAACAAGTAATTATAGCAATAAGCCAGTAGCGTCTTCACAAATCAGTTCCTCCATTGTCCCAGCCTAATTGGAGTAATTTGTGTTTAAGGTGATACTGATTTTGCATAATGATTTGCTCTTGTATGACACACATGACAACGTTCTCTTTACTTAACCTGGACAACAGTCTTGTTGGCTGATACGTAAATGCTGTTGCTCAGAAGTCAACTCCTGGCATTGCAGACTCCAGGAGAGAAGAGTTCAAGCAGCTGTTGGTGGTGTTATTGAAGATATAAATAAACCACAGAAAGAGCAGGGGGCCAGGAGAGGAAGGGCCCTATTTGTCTGACCTTGTTGGAGCCTGTGTGTGGTGGGACTCTGCTGCTCCATACAAATCAGTTCTGTGGGTTTTCCTCTTGGCCAGGGCCTCCTGTGCTCTCTGAATAACTCTGGCCCCTCCCGGGGACAGGTAAAATGGAAAAGTCTTTTTATTTCCATTGGCTTAAGCCAAACCCCTCTAAACAAGCTCTTCCAGAGCTGAGCAGAGCAGGGCTCAGGCCTCGGTTGGCAGCCCATGCGCGGCTTCCGCCTCTTCCCCACTTCAGCGCTCTTTTGAAAGCCACCTTCTCACAAAAGACAGAGCTGATCTCTAGGGCCTGGGAAAATAGAAAATTCTCACACTGTGATGGGAAACACTGTCAAGACCCGAAACTCTATAGTGAAGCCTCAGACACTGGTTGTAATCACAGATAAAGTGAGGGAGCCAGACTGTGCAGGAGACACAGCCACAGTGAAATTAAAAGAGACCAGTAGGGTGGAATTAAACATTATGGAGAAGTGGCCGAGACCACTTCACTCTCCGGAGAGGGCTCAGCCAGTGTCCAAGTCCTTTATTAACTAGGGGAAATATTTTTCTGTTCTCAAATGGAGTCTTAGGATGGGTGCCTAAACTTTAGGCCTGATGCCCTGAGGTTTTTGCTCAGATCAGAATGTCCATTGACTCGTTTATGGAGAAGATGAAATGAAATGCAAAAGGTTGCTCTTCAACCAGAAATAGACTCACGGGCAAAGAAAACAAACCGTGGTTACCAAAGGGGAAAGGGCAGGGGATGGATTAATTAGGACTTTGAAATTAACAGATACATATACTATATACGAAAGAGAAACAACAAGGACCTACTGTGTAGCACAGGGAATTATATTCAATTTCTTATAATAACCTATCATGGAAAAGAATCTGAAATATACATGTATATGTATGTACATGTATAACTAAATCGCTTTGTTATACACCTGAAATTAACATTGTAAATCAACTACACTTCAATAAAAAAGTTAAATTAAAAAAAAGTTACAGTTCTTATATTAATTGTTTCTGGTGTTCAGTTCTCCAGTTTTGATGGTGCTGCATTCCATCAAAGCTGTAGCTCCAAGAAAGCGCATTGCTTGAAATAATTGTATTATTTTCTTTTAGGGATTCATATTTCTATTCCTCTTGAGAGAGAGACAGTTTGCATCTACCCACCTATGAATTTATGGAGTTCTTATCACTAAATTACCTTGAAACTCAAAGGATAAGGATGATAAGGATGAGCTGTCCCTGCTAATGGTGTGGAAGTGAGAAGCATATTAGATGGTACCTTACTTTTGGACGAATGCTCTTCAAATAGATATTGAATTATATTAAAAAAAAAAGCAGTTCTCAGAAGCATATTAATATACATAACAATACACCACACAGTTAAGTGAGTTTTTGAGCTTTCAAATGTTCTGGGATTGCATCTTCCAACAGAAACTGCGATTTCATTAGCATTTAAGACCAGCCTTCCAGGGCTGTTTGCCAAAGGGATGAAAGCAGGAGAAAATAAAAGCAGCCCTTCCACAGGCCCCTCAAAGGTGCTAATTAGTGATAGTTTTCCTCTATGGGCAGTGGCCCAGGATGCAGGACTTGTGACCATAGACCTAGTTCCATTATGCCTAGGAAAACAACCAACCCGTTAAATTAAGTGAAAATTTCACTTTGTGGAGCTTTATGTTGACTAATGGCCTCCAAGCATAGAAAGAGTTACTATGCCCAGGGTTATGAGAAATTATTTTCTACGGAGGAAATTAGTGCTTGCCTAGGTAAGGTGAGGCTGAATTTTCCAACAGTGAGACTTTTTCCATACAGAATAGATGAGCTGCAGAGGGAGGTTGGCGCAATAGTCTTGCGATAAAAATTAAAAGATTTTTTTTTGGTCTCTCCTTAAAGTGAGTCCATACTAACTTACCTACTCAAAACTTTGAATTTTCCAGAATAGACTCTTCAGTGAATCAGTCAATACCAGCAAGGACCACTTACTGAATATTCACATGTGCTGGCCTTTCTTACCTCATTTCATTCTCATCATAAGTCTGCAAGGAAGGCATTCTTATCCCACTTTTCAGACGGGCAAGATAAGAGTCAGTGAGGTTGAGTCACTTCCCTAAATTCACACAAGTGAAATGGGAGAGAACTAGATTTAAACCCAAGCCTTTGACTTTATCAAACTCAAGTTCCTTGTCTGTCTGAGAGAGGTATAAAGATCAGACTATGACCCCAGTGTTGCCCTGAAGTCTAGGCAGATCATGTTGTTTGAATAAGTAAAACCTCATGCAATGTTACTGAGAAATTTACATCAGTTAATTAGATAACTCTCCACTCCTCCTAATGCTGCAAGAACACAGCCCCAGGGGCCTCCCAAGCAGAACCGTTCATTCTGTAACTATTTACTGGGCACCTCGTATGTGCCAAATACTGTGCTAGTCACTGAACCTTAGAAAGAGAAGATTCTTGGCTGGTTTGCTCTCTCCCTTTGCCTGGGGCAGTGCTTCTGGGAAGAAGGTGAAGTGGTAGATTCCAAGTTTATGTCTGAAAACTGAAGGACTAAATAGGGTGTGAGGAAGGGGAAAGAGCTGTGCTATTGAAGACAGGAGTGGGGCTGGCTAAACTTGTAACTAACCTTTGAATTTTGAAAAGGGCAAATTTAGTTTTCTAGGCACAAGGTGTGTTGTGCATTGGGAGTACACTTCGTTCCAACTGATGATTCAGGGTGGAGGAGTAAAACACAGCCCCAGAAGTTTAGATCATGTTAGGGAGGGCAGCCCTCAGAAAGGGTCATTGAGGCAAACCCATGAGGGTCATTGGAAGCAACCATCAGGAATGAGATCCGTGTGCTTTTTCAACTCAGCTCTGAGGACCAGGTCGGAAACAGATCCCTCAGCCAGTCAGCAGCAGCCTGACCCTATGTGACAAGTCTTGTTTACATCTTACTAACTATATCACCAGGAGTAAGAGAAGGTTCACAGATGGACACTCACCCCCAGAGTAGATTCCACAGTCAGCTTAGTCTAGCAGTGAATCCTAAGGTTGGTTCAAATGTGAAGAGTTGGAAGAAGGGACATGGATCAGAAGATATTAAAACCAAAGAAAGGATCTTTAAGATGGGGCCTGAAACAAAGTGTGGAGGAAGCCTATTTGTCTTGGTGACACATGTGGAATGTTGTGCTTCGGCCAGGTCTGTGTGTTTGGGTCTTGACCTACTTGTAGAACTCAGTAAAGAAATGTGGTCTAAACAGAATTTCCTGTCACCCTTGAGCCTCTCGAAGATCACATAGCAGGCTGCTGTACATAATTCATGGAAACTGTTGTTAGTGACCTTAGTCATCACTTACTTTTCTAGTGTCTTACAATATCTGGGAATTTTTAACCCATTTCCTCATTGTACCATTTCATCTCTCTTTGCGCCTTTATCCTAAGCTGTACGGCGGGTGTGAATGGGCGACTGTGCCCCCTTCTCACCACACTCCTTCCCCTTCAACTCCTTGCCTGGCCTCAGAGGAGTGCACTTGGGTCAGGCCCACTTTGCTGCCATAAACCACCTCCTGGATTAAGTGTTTTCTACTCTACCCTACCCTTCAGATTCTGCAACGTGGAAACCCTAAGAACCACCCTGATAATTTTTAGTACAGAGAAGGGGAAAAGACTGACCATAAAACTGGAATTCTTTCAGGGAGTGGAAAGGGGACAAGCTGGGAACATCCACGAGTTAATCATTTTGTCCCTTTGTAATAGCATGCAAGCTAAGCCCCCAAACAGAAAAGGAGCCATTTGAGGTTACCTTTTTAGGTATTATTGACCCCAGGGACTCCCTGAACAGAGTAACTTATTAACTATTCCAGGAACTGTCTGTGGAGTCAATGGAACCATGTGACTTTCACCGCCAGGCCCTGTGGGAATATCACTGGCATCATGGCATGCCCCAGCTTGAGGCCATCACCATCAGAATGATCAGCTCTAGGATTCTTAGGTGACCAGGGTTGACATTCCCGTGGTCTCTGACTTCACATGCCTGAAAACAAAGCCTGATGCTCATGAATGCACAGGAATCAGAAGTCCCGGAGTCAATAGGGAAGCTTCAGTGTGGTTATACAGTAGGTGAGGTCATCACAGAAAAATGTGACCAATCACCAAGGAACAGATATCCTGCTTTTATCGAGAAATGCTTTCCAGTTAAATGTTCATGACTCCCCTCTTTGCTACATCTACTGCAAGAATGAAGACCATTCTCAGCAATCAGACTGTTGACATTCCAAAAAATGTCAACATCACTCTGAAGGGACGCACAGTTACTGTGAAGGGCCCCAGAGGCACCCTGCAGAGGGACTTCAATTACATCAAGGTAGAACTCAGTCTCCTTGGAAAGAAAAAGAAGAGGCTCTGGGTTGGCAAGTGGTGGGGAAATAGAAAAGACCTGGCTACTGTTTGCACTATCCATAGTCACGTACAGAATAGGATCAAGGGTGTTACACTGGGCTTCCGTCACAAGATGAGGTCTGTGTATGCACACTTCCCCATTAACATTGTTATTCAGGAGAATGGTTCGCTTGTTGGAATCTGAAATTTCTTGGGTGAAAAATACATACGCAGGGTTCGGATGAGGCTGGGTGTTGCTTGTTCAGTTTCTCAAGCTCAGAAAGATGAGTTAGTTCTTGAGGGAAATGGCATTGAACTGGCATCAAATTCAGCTGCTTTGATTCAGCAAGCCACGACAATTAAAAACAAGGATATCAGAAAAATTTTGGATGGTACCTATGTTTCTGAAAAAGGAACAGTTCAGCAGGCTGAAGAATAATATCTAAGTTGTCCAGGTACAGAAAGAGCAAGATACCAGATGACTCTTCAGATTCATTAGTGATATCTTAAGGATACGATAAAAGCTGTGTTGATTGGGACTTTTTCTTAAACTGAAAAAAAAATGTTCATGACTCCCTATCAATAAACTATAAGCATAATTAGATCATTATCTGCTCTCATCCTTGGTGAGAATGAAAGGAATCAATGTTCAGAGCAGTGATACAACACACCATGCCAACCTCATCACTCTCATTACTTCTGCTTATTCTTTAACAATGACCTAACTGAACAAGAAGCATTCATGTAATGGTTTACTCAAGGTTCTATGGGCTCTCCAAAACTTATGTCTACTTAATACGGGCCCACTTCTTCATCATGGCACCAGAGTGTGGTTGAGTAATATCAACCAGGGCAGATCTCTCTGAAATGAAAGCATGACTCTATGCTCCAGCTGAAAAGGCAGAGATTGAAATGGTTTAAAAGCCATTCATTCATTTATTTGGCAAATATTTGGTAATGCCTGCTAGAAATATCATGCCCTGTGCTTGGCACATGAGATACAATGATGCGCAGATACACATGCCCTTAGCCCCGACAACTCCTCAAACTCAGAGTTTAGCCAGGAGGACTGACTGAGGGAGGAGTTACAGATGCTCTGATTATAGTCATATGGAGGTCAAAGGTCAGGCTTTACGGAGTTAATCTGGGGACTCAGGAAGACTCCACGCCCCCACCCCAGGAAGCTCCACATAAGCTGAACCTTAAATGGAGTCCATGAAGTGTGGGCAAGAGGCACCTTCCAGGCAGAAGTTCCCTTTGGGGAGGATTTTATTCTTTTCTAATGCTTTTGGGTGAGGAACACAGGCTTGTCAGCAAAAAGCAGGGAGCTTGGGGGAAATGGGTAACTCTTTCTCAGGGCAGCTGGGATGCATATTTCAAATGAAATCCTTGTCAATAAGCTTTCCTTTGTACTTTAATTAATGTGTGTGTTGAACATTTTCTATCTTCTGCTCAGATCTATGTCCGTGTTCAACATTTCTGGACAGCTTCCAAAATGGTGATAGGCAGATTTCTGACAAAAGTAGTTGTTTGGGTTTTTTTTTCCCCCTCCTCTTCCATTAGCCATGGCCCCTTGCCATGTTGAGTCTCACAAATGGACACAAACCAATCAATCACCCTTAGAAAAATGTCAAAATTCCTCCTTCCCTACTGTGAAATGAATACACTGACCTTAACCAAATGTAGAAATAATTTTTTTTAAATCTATCCCAATGGGACCCCTAGCTGCCACACTTAGATTTCCACACATTTCAGTGTGACGACGCTGACATTGCTGAGAAGAATTTCCTGCTCCCCTTTTTTGTAAAGCTGGAAGCAGATTAAATGCATCCCCAAAGTTACTAATAAGAACTTAGTTATGCAGAGGCTCTGCCTTTCCAGGAGTGTAGGTAGGAAGAGCCATTATTCATCCAGAAGGAAGAAATAAGAGAGATGGATGGAACATAGTCAACAGGGAAGGAACATGCATTTTCTATTGTTTTTAAGACAAACAACGAGTTTTCTCAATCTAGGGACCATCTAATACCCAACTACTTCACTCAATGTCATCCTCTGGTTTATGCAGCACAGCCCTGGATAAGAGTAGAAGCCCTCAGACTGGCAGAAGTCCACTCAGGTCCTGGCTCTGTCATTCGCCAGCTCTGTGACCTTGAGCAGGTCACTCAGTCTCTTTAACCCCCAAGCCCTTCATCTATAAAACAAGGACAATGATACTTACCTCCTGGAATGCTGCAGTGAACATCTCCTGTTTTCACCATTTCTACTCTTTCAGTCACAGAACTTTCATTATCATTGGAGGAGCACACGTTCCAATCTCCAGGCCTGTGGTTTTAGGGGATAACCCTGCCTCAGGCTCTTGGCAAAGGACATGAGATCTGGACCTGGACTCAGAGCCCTGCAGCCCCTCACTGTGGTGCATTTTAAGAGAGAGAGAGGGAGGGAATGAGGGAGGGAGAAAGAGAGAGAGAGAAAGAAAAAGGGAGGGAGAGAGAGAAAGAGAAAGAAAAGAAAGGAAGAAGAGAAAGAAAAGAAAGAAAAAGAAAGGAAGAAAGGAAAGAAAGGAAGAAAGGAAGAGAAAGGAAGAAAGGAAGAAAGAAAGAAAGAAAGGAAGGAAGGAAGGAAGGAAGAAAGAAAGAAAGAAAGAAAGAAAGAAAGAAAGAAAGAAAGAAAGAAAGAAAGAAAAAGAAAAAAGGAAGGAAACGAAGAAGGAAGGAAAAAGGAAGAAA